AAGAAAATCGATTGAAATAGCACCACGGTAGGCCATGAGAGTGGGAATAAAAAGTGGCTGCAAATGAAAGAGGACTAACACTGGGTAAAGATCAGAGACGATCCAGGTTGACAAAAGGGTAACATTTACCAGAGAAAGGCCAAGGAGACAGGTGTGAATCCTTTATGCTGATTGTGCGAATCAAAAACCTTAGAGAGGCTTTTGTGCTTCAAAGGACACTTATCAGAGTGAAAAGCAAACTATGGACTGGGAGGGAATGTCTGCAAATCCTATATCTGATCATATACAGGTAAGGAGTTCATAAATCACATAAAAGCTCCTATAACTCAACAATGAATCCGCCCCCATAAGCCAACTGAAAAAAGGGCAAAGGGCCATCCCCTTGCTAAGGGGTGATGTGGCCAAGCTGTGTTTTCTTAAGCTTTGGCCCCCTCCCCTCCCTTGGGGAGATGAATCCTCTCTTTCTCAATCTTTCCAGTTTTGCTTTCTAAATAAACCACACTAGCCGGGTGTGATGGCTCAAGCCTATAATCCCAGAAATGTGAGGTCAAGATGAGAGGACTGTTTGAGTCCAGGGGTTCGAGACCACCCCGGGCAACTTGGTGAGACCTCGTCTCTACAATAATAATTTAAAATGGGCAAAAGACTTGAATGGCCATTTCTCCAAAGAAGATATACAAACACACACTAAACATATGAAAAGATGTTCAACGTCACTAATCATCAGGGAAATACAAGTCAAAACCATGAGACACAACTTCTCCTTCATCAGAACGGCTGTTCTTTAAAGAAATAGAAAATAATAAGTGACGGGGAAGATGTGGAGAAATTAGAACCTTTGTACATTCCCGGTAGAAACGTTGAGTGGTGCCGTTCCTGTGGAACACAGTGGTGGTTCCTCAAAAATTAAACAGAATTTCCATGTATCCAACAATTCCACTTCTGAGTGCATACCCAAAAGAACTGAAAGCAGGCTAGGCTCGGTGGCTCAGCCTGTCATTCCAGCACTTTGGGAGGCTGAGGCAAGTGGATGGCCTGAGCCTGTGGGTTTGAGACCAGCCCGGGCAACTTAGTGAGACTTCGTCTCTACAATAAATCAAAAATTAGCCAGGTGTGGTGATGCGTACCTGTGGTTCCAGCTACTCGGAAGGCTGAGGTGGAAGGATCGCCTGAGCCCAGCAGGTCAAGGCTGCGGTGGCCATGAGCGTGCCACTGCACTCCGGCCTGGGCAACAGTGTGAGACTGATTCAAAAAAAAAAAAGTAAAGAAAATACCAGGAAATGATATCTATGACTGTACCTTCAATTTTATGAGCATAACTTCAGGGGCTGACAAGCCATGTGATTCCTGAATTCTTTCCCCGTGCAGAGTAATCAAGAAGTCAGTTTCTTGTTACAGGAAATAAGAAGCTCATACAGGTCCCTTAGACTGGACACCAGCCAGCAGTAAATCACGAGAAATTAACCAGTATCTATGTAGCCTGTGGCAGACACAGAATAATTGTAACACCAGGCATTTGCCATCTCCTTGTGCAGCAAAGATTAGCATAAATCAACAAAATACAGTTGTAACAAGCTCTGTGAAAAGTCACGTTTGGAGTCCGTGGTGCATCCTTCCTCTTCCCCCCAAATTAAGACATCAACTTGCTCTCCTCACTAGAAGCACGGCTGCGTACTTTCTGGACAAAGAGGGCCTCTCCCCACCTATTACAGTAGCTTCTGCCTATGTTTCCATGTAACCTATGTTTCCAAGCATCTTTCATTCCTCTGGCTAAGCCTGAACGTTGTGCACACACCCTGCCATGGTCAAATCAGCTCTTGAAATGGACATCTGGGCATTTTGGGAGCTAGAGAAAACATCACTGCCAGGAATTACATCCTGGCAAAGTTTCTTACCCTCTGCAAGACTGGGTGGGGCGATGATTCTCACTGTCCCGTCACATAAATGAGGAAATTAGGACACAGAAAGAGCATCAGGTGTACAGAGAAGGATAAACAGAGAAACTCCAAAGAAAGCAGTTCTCAACCTTGACTGCAAGCTGGAATCGCCTGGGGAACATTAACGACACACTGGTGCCTGGGTCCCACCTGTTCCCCATTGAGACTATTATTCAATCTGGAATTGTGATCTGGATATGAATTTTAGGAAGTCACCGTGTGAGTCCAATTTCTGCCCAAGATCAAAAACCACTGTTTACAGGAAAACAAACGTCCTCATTCTTAGGTCAGTCTCTGGGACCTTTGCTGGGATCACAATTTACAGCAAGAGCTAATAAGTAGAGTTAAGACAAGTCTTTAGAAATTACTCTCCGATACGGCACTGAAGATGTGATCATATCCTATCACTAGAGGGCGAAGTTTCATCATTTACATCTAATAAATCTATTTACTGCCTTAGGTTAAGAATTCATCTTTTGCCAGGCTTGGTGGCTCAGCCTGTAATCCCAGCGCTTTGGGAGGCTGAGGTGAGTGGATTGCCTGAGCCCGCAGGTTCGAGACCCGCCTGGGCAACTTGACGAGACCTCATCTCTACAATAAATCAAAAAATTAGCCAGGCGTGGTAGCGCACACCTGTAGTTCCAGCTACTTGGAAGGCTGAGGTGGAAGGATCGCCGGAGCTCAGCAGGTCGAGGCTGTGGTAGCTGGGAGCGGCCATTGCACTCCAGTCTGGGCGACAGAGTGAGACTCCAACTCAAAAAAAAAGAATTCATCTTTCAGGTTCCTCCCTTACCTTTAAAAAAACAAAAGGCTGAATAATGGCCAGGGGCAGTATCTCACACATGCAATCCCAGTTCTTTGGGAGGCTGAGGAGAGAGGACTGCTTGAGCACAATTCAAGAGCTGCCTAGGCAACCTGGGGAGATCTTGTCTTAACAATGAAATCAATGAAAATCAAAAAATTAGCCGGGTGTGGTAGCATATGCCTGTAATCCCAGCTACTCGGGAGGCTGAGGCGGAAGGATCACCTGAGCCAAGGAGGTCAGACTGTGGTGAGCCAAGATCATGTCACTCCAGTCTGGGTGACAGAAAAGACCCTGACTCAAAAAAAGAAAAAAAAAGGCTAAATAATGAGGTTTTCATGATGATATACTAAAAGTTGACATTCTTGATTTCAGTTACTTCCTATTATTGAAATGAGAGTTTGAGACTCTATGACACAATCACTAAGAGCACTGTGTCCTTTTATATTTGCCATATGCCCTCTTCCTAAAGGTTTATATTTATGGGGCATCTTGTTTCTACAAAGTGCACACCTTTGCTGTGTAACCTACGTTTCCAAGCAGGAGCTAGGGCTCGGCTATATTTGATTAAGATCTGATTTCTTTCTCTCTCGGAAAATGAGACAATAAACATCTCCGTTTTGAAATCACGTTTTTCTCCATCTTGGAATGGAAGTCCTGCATTACCAATCAGCTCCTAGATGAGGCGACGCTGAGGTTGCCGGTACAGAGCCCTGCATTCCGTGGTAGGAAACGGGCAGATTCCAGGACGCATCTCCTGAAGACATCCGAGGATGTCAACCCACACACTGACAGCCCCTCTGCCTGTCTATCTGTCACCTATCCCCACGAAGGCAGAGACGTCACAGATCCAGTGGGTTACACACGGACGATGCATTAGAATCCCTTGGCTGTTTCTTTTTTTTTTTTTGCGTCGGAGTCTCACTCTGTCACCCAGACTGGGGTGCCGTGGCCACTCCCGGCCACCGCAGCCCCGACCTGCTGGGCTCTGGTGATCCTTCCACCTCAGCCTTCCAAGTAGCCGGAACTACAGGTGTGCGCTACCACGCCTGGCTAATTTTTTGATTTATTGTAGAGATGAGGTCTTGCCAAGTTGCCCAGGCGGGTCTCGAACCTGTGGCTCAGGCAATTCATTGTTTCTTAAAAATAAAGACTCTTGACCTCAGTCCCTGGAGGTTATGATCAGTAGGTCTGGAAGGGGGCCCAGGAATCTGTATTTTTAACCAGTTCCTGGAAGGTTTTGCTGGAGCCTTCTGCTTTTGAAAACCACTGATCTTCAAAGTTTTTACCTTGCAGACAAAGAAAGAGGCTGAGGCTAGAAGAGAGGAAGGAACCTTTCAAAGTCAGTGACAGGCCAGCGCAGGATCTAGGTTCTCCCGGACCCACTGGACTAACACTGCCGCATGATCTTGTTTTTTTTTGAGTCGGAGTCTCACTCTGTCGCCCAGGTTGGAGTGCAGGGACACAGGCACAGCCACCACAGCCTCGACTTGCTGGGCCCCAGTGATCCTTCCACCTCAGCCTTCCAAGGAGCCTGAACTGCAGGTGCGTGCTACTGCGCCAGCTAATTTTTTTATTTATTGTAGAGACAAGGTCTCACCAGGTTGCCCAGGCTGGTCTCGAACCCGTAGGCAATCCTCTTGCCTCCGCCTCCCAAGTGCTAGGATGACAGGTGTGCGCCACCACGCCGGCAACACTGCTGCTTGATAGGAGTCAACGTGGGTGTCTGATCTTTATTCTGACACCACGTCACTGTCAGGCACAGCAGCTAGTTCCCAAAGAAGCCCCTGCTGGAATGCGTCTCCCAGGGTGCACAACCCCAGCTGTGCCTGCTCCCGTTCTCCCTGGGCTGGCCCTGAGGCGTGCTTTCACAGAAGGCCCTGGAAGCGACGCTGTGTAGCTTACGAGGCAGGGCCACAAGGGGGCTGCAGCTTCTCCCTGCCTCATCTCCACTTTGAACAGAGACGGCATGCTGGAAGGAAGCGCCAGGACCCATGGGCAGAGGCGGATGCGGGGACAAGCCAAGGCCCTTGTCAACACCCTCTGAAGCGCTCCCAGCCACCAGCTCCTCGCCGACTTGCCAGCTGAGTGAGGGCGCGAGAGGGATGGCCGTGGACCTAGCCCTGCCACCCCAGGGGAGTGGAGCAGCAGGCTCACAGAACGACCCATGATGACCAACCCTTGATCTGAGATTCTAAGTTCTGGGGTGGGTTTTGCATAACAGCAGACGGCTAAAACAACAGGAGGAGAAATCCCCTTACCTGTTAGGCTGGAAGGAGATCCGGTCATAACCTGTGAGTTCACACAAGTCCTTCTCAAGCTCCCGGAAAAGCTGTTGGTACCCTTGAGCTTGGTCCAGAGGCACAAAGGGGTGGATGTTTGCAAATTCCTTCCAGGTGATAGGCTGAAAAGCAGGAGGGGGGGGGGTGGGTTAAAAAGAATGCACACGTACCTACTGTAATAGCAACAACAAGAACTCTAACAATGACAAGGATATGATCAAAGCAAAAGCTAACAAGAGTCCTGCTGTGTGCCAGGTACTATTCAAAGCACTTGGAATATAGTAAGTAATTCACTGACATCTCACCACAAGCTCATAAGGTAAGCACTAGTACTATCTTTATTTTACAAATGGGACGTAGAGGCCCAAAAAAGGAAATTAACAAAAACAACATCTTTTTTTCTTTTCTTTTTTTCCAAGTGAGAAAGCAGGATTTACTGAGAGGACAGAAAAGCTCCCACAGTGGGAGGGGACCCAAGGGGGTTGCCCATAATCTTTTTCTAACTTTTGAGAAAAAAAACAAGGCCTCAAAATAGATTCATTTCCACAAAATGCAATGAGTTGCTTCAGGTATGATTTACTCCAATTCCTCCACATCACATATATTATTCTCCTTCTTCACTGATCAGAACAAGAAATACATGTAAAAACGAATGGGGAAAACCCTTCTTATAACAATGTTAAATTATTTATTTTGCCTTATATGCTTTGTCACATTTTTAAAGGCTTTGCTGAAAGGACTCCTGGACCAGGAGAGATACTTGCCAACCAAACAGCAAGGGACGCAAATCTTCTATTGACTCAAGGAATAAATTTAAACTTCAAATTTCTACCCTTCTGAAACAATAAATTTCTAGAAAGAAGGCTTAAGGGTCTTATTTCTACCTGAGGTCAATGACTATAAGCCAATAAAATAAAAGCTTTTGACAGGACAGAATTAAAAGGGGTGGCAGGAGAATAGAAAGGCATAAATATTAACATTTGAGAAATAATTTTGAAAAATATTTTAGGCTGGGTGCAGTGGCTCACGGCTGTCATTCCAGCACTTTGGGTGGTAGAGGCAAGAGGTTTGCCTGAGCCCAGGGGTTTGAGACCAGCTTGGGCAACTTGGTATGACTTTGTCTCTACAATAAATCAAAAAATTAGGCCAGGCATGGTGGCTCACGCCTATAATTCCAACACTTTGAGAGGCTGAGGTAAGAGAATTGCCTGAGTCCAAGGGTTTGAGACCAGCCTAGGCAACTTGGCAAGACCTCGTTTCTACAATAAATCAAAAAAATTAGGCTGGGTGCAGTGGCTCAGCCTGTAATTCCAGCACTTTGGGAGGCCAAGGCGAGAGGATTGCCTGAGCCCCGGGGTCAAGACCAGCCTGGGCAACTTGGTGAAACCTCGACTCTACAATAAATCACAAAAAAATGAGCCGGGCATGGTGGCACACGTCTGTAGTTCCAGCTTCTTGGAAGGCTGAGGTGGAAGGATGGCCTGAGCCCAGCAGGTTGAGGCTGCAGTGACCGGGAGCATGTCACTGCCCTCCAGCCTCAGTGACAGAGTGAGACTCCAACTCAAAAAAAAAAAAAATCAGCTGAGTACAGTGGCTCATGCCTATAATCCCAGCACTTTGGGAGGCCGAGATAAGAGGACTGCTTTAGCCCAGGAGTTTGAGACCAGCCTGGGCAACTTGGCGAGACCTCATCTCTACCATAAATCAAAAAATTAGCCAGGCAAGGTGGCACGTGCCTGTGGTTCCAGCTACTTGGAAGGCTGAGGTGGAAGGATCGCCTGAGCCCAGCAGGTCGAGGCTGGGATGGCCGTCAGTGTGTCACTGTACTCCAGCCTGGGCGACAGAGTGAGACTCTGACTCAAACAAAAGAGGAGGAAAGTTTCAATAATTCTACACATAAACTTAAATACTTAAGTTGTGAGAAAGAGCGGGCTTCTTCAAGATTGTTGAACAGCAAGGCCAAGGGTCTCGAGAGCGGTTAGGAGCTCACACTCCTAACAGCCTTCCCTAGCTACAGGCTTAGGAGGAAGCCGGCACCCAGTGGCTAGAGTACCCTCCCAGCAGAAGTGGCCAACTTACCGCGAGTTCGGACGAAGCATTCAGCTTCATGGTGCAGGATCCCTTGAAAAGCACATCCAAAACGTGTCGCATCAGTGACTTCCCACGGTTCGTCTGCCAACCCTCGTATCTCCCTGCACGGCCACCCCCGCCCCTCCTGCAGCCTATCAGACATGGCCCACTGGGTGGGATCGAGGTGGGCTTGGGAGACAGAGGACCAGCACTACCAGTGGAATCATGCTGTGAACCAGGGAGATGTCCTTGTTTTCCAGTTTCTTCATGTACCGGACGATGTTTGTTTCCGAGTGGTAGCTGTGAGCACAGAGCACAAAATTAGACCGAGGCGACGAGTTAAGAGTCCAAGCATGTCCTCCTGGGAGATAAGACACACGGAGGTCTGCCTTCAGGCTGGACACGGTGCCTTGCACCTGTCCGCCCAGCACTTTGGGAGGTGGAGGCGAGAGGACTGCCTGAGTCCAGGGGTTCGAGACTTGCCTGGGCTACTTGGCCAGACCTCGTCTCTACCATAAATCAAAAAATTAGGCCGGGCACGGTGGCTCACGCCTATCATCCCAGCACTATGGGAGGCCGAGGCAAGAGGACTGCCTGAGCCCAGGGCTCCAGATCACCCTGGGCAATTTGGTGAAACCTTGTCTCTACAATAAATCAAGAAATTAGCTGGGAGTGATGGCGTGCACCTGTTGTTCTAGTTACTTGGAAGGCTGAGGTGGGAGGATCGCCCGAGTCCAGTAGGTCGAGGCTGCAGTGGCCAGGAGTGTGCCCCCGCCCTCCAGCCTGGGCGACAGAGTGAGACTCTTACTCAGAAAAAATTAAATAAAAGATCTACCTTCAAAATGCAGATCAATTTGGCCATGGGAAACATGTCAACCACAAAGCAGAGAGAAGGGTATAGAAACCATGAACCTCAGAGGGTGCCCTGGACAGGAAGCTGCCTGTGGGCATGAGAGGAAGGTTGGGAAGAAGAGGTAGTGTTCCTGGTAACTTCAAGTTGGCAGCTACACATGCAAACTCCCCTCTGCCCACAGAGCCAAGGGAGCAGAGCCACCAGGACACAAGGCTGCTTTGCCCAAGTCAGGAACAGGAGGCTGACGTCATGAGTGTTAATGAGCCATGGATAGGCCACATTCACCCAGGCCCCCTCACAGCCGGAAGCAGAAGTCGCTCCCTACCAAGCTCCCGAGCTTACAGCCGCAGCAGAAAACACAGACGTCACGCAAACCTGTTGAACACTTGATGTGTGAGGAATGGGCTGGTTCTCTGGAACGCAGACCCTGGAATGCCTCTCTGCTCCTCACCCATCCTTTCAGCAACCAGTTCCTGCATGGAGAGACCACAGAAACAGCAGGGTGGGAGCCACGCCTGGAACCACGTGTGGACAGCCAGGCTTCCCGGCGTCTGGGTCACAAAGCATTCAAGATGGATCAGAGATATACAAGTAAAAGCTGAGAGTACTAAACGCTTACAAGAAAATATAGGAGCATATCTGCATGACTTTGGATGCTGCAGTGGCTCCTTAAATACGACACTAAAAGCATGAGCAATAAATACAAGATTAATGAATAAATTGAATTTTTTTAAAGTTAAAAACATCTGTGGACATCAGCAAGAGAGTTAAGAGATGACCCACAGAATGGGAGGAAATACATGCAAGTCATATATCTGATGGGGGCTAGATACTAGGAATGGAGAATGAAATACATGGCATGTTCCTGATTCCTCACAAGGCTGATAATACGAGTGCTCCAGGAACACGTGGCAAAGACCAAATACCTGATGAAATGTAGTGCAGAGTTCTAGAGGGAAGAGGCATATTCAGCCCTGTTTATTAATTATAGTTGGAAAGAGAACGCTGGGATACTTCTTTGATGATTTGCCACGATTATCTTGTACAGTCCTTTGAAGACCTCTCTGAAAGAGGGCACGGGCAACCAAGACAGCCCCACTCAGTGCTCTGGAAGGTATTTCTACTTCTGTACTAAATGCTAACTTTTTCACTGCTTCATTCAACAAACATTTGCTGGGTGACTGCCAAGCATCAAACAGGGTGGAACGAACTGACGAGCATCTCGCCGCAGGACAGGGTAGCAGCCATCGCTTCCTTCATTCCCATCCCTTCTACCCACTAGCCCCTGCCACTTCATTGTTTTTAGACAGCATTCAGCTTCGCTGAGCTGCTGACAGCTCTGACGTAACCTCCCTCCCAGCCTTTGTGGCTGTGTTTCCCACTGCCTAGAACACCCCGACACCATCTTCCTGTTCCTCCATCATGCCATCTCGGCCAGGTAACTCCCGCTCATCTACCAGATTTCAGGCAGGCCGGGCTCCCCCCAGCCTGGGTGAGGATCTCACGCTCTCCACTCACAAGCACCTTCCCCCATCGCCCTCATAACACATCGTCTGGGAGATGATCGCATGCTCGCTTGTCTGGTTCTCTCTCAGACTCTACGCTCCATGGGGAGGAAGCACGTCAAACTCTCCACTGCATTCTCAGGGCCTTGTGCAGTACACGGCACACCACAGGTCCACAAGAAACATTAAATGAATAAGTGCCATTAGATTCCCAGAAGTGACACAACCAAGATGCCAAGATTGGGCATCTTGTATTAGGGGCGGTTTTATAAACCACGATGAACCGCCCTCCCAACTAGCCCGGCTCCTGGGTCCTGATTGGGGCGCAAGGGCAGTGACCTCCAGCTGTCAACATCACAGCAGCAAGGGACAAGTCAGTAGCATAATTTTAACAGTGAACTGCCCGAGTCACACCTGGGCTCTTTCTCCCTCCCACTCAGGCCCACATGCAGACACGCCATCTTTGCCACCGCCTCCAACAGTCACGGAGAGGAATGCGTGCTTTAGTTTACTTACCGCAGAAGACTCACAGCCAAAAATCCACAACAAGTCATCCAGATCTTTTTCATTGACTGTTTCATCAAGAGAAATGCCAAGCTACAGAAACAAAAACGAAACGCAAAGCCTCGGCTCTAGATTCCATGGTCGGTAGCGGAACCCCAAGGAGGGTGGAAAGGAAGAAGAAAGTAGGAAAAAGGCAGCTTTCCCAGCCATCCCAAAAGGTCAGGGTCACTCTGGTTTCTCTTCAGATTGCATAAACCTTTCGCCTTTTAGCCGAAGGTCAGGGTGCCGCCACATCTAAGTTTGCCCTTAGGGGAAGGTGACTCGTCCCAGACTTCAAAAGGTCTTGGGTTTGGCCGGGTCCCTCTGGACTCCAACAGTCAGGGGCTGTGGGAAATTCTATCGGGCCTAGAGCGGCTGACGGAATCATTCCTTCACCTACTTCACCGTATCATATATCAGAGCCTGTACTGTGGAATGTCAGTCACACCGTGAGAGGAACACTGTGAGCAAAACCTGTGCCTCCAGGTGCCACGGAGGAAAGCACAGCGTCTCAGGGAAAGCAAAGAAGGGATTATCCTTCCCTGAAAAGGTCTCCATATTTTATACTGGAAATGAAACTTGGCCAGGCGCGGAGGCTCACACCCATACTCGCAGCACTTTGGGAGACGAGAGGACTGCCTGAGCCCACGGGTTCAAGACCGGCCTGAGCAACATGGCAAGAACTCGTCTCTACAATACAAAAGTCAGCTGGGTATGGTGGCACATGCCTATGGTTCCAGCTACTTGGAAGGCTGAGGCGGAAAGATCGCCAGAGGCCAGCAGGTCGAGTCTGTGGTGGCTGTGAGCGTGCCACTGTACTCCAGTCTGGGCAACAGACTGAGACTCCGACTCAAAAAAAAGGAAAGAAATGAAACTTGTCTACACAGAAAAATACACTATGCCCCAAAGTTCCAAAATTAATTTTTTTTTTAAATAAAGAGAGGCCAGTCATGGTGATGCCCACCTGCAATCCCAGCACTTTGGGAGGTGGAGGCAAGGGGACTGCTGAAGCCTGGAAGTCTGAGACCAGCCTGGGCAACATAGCGAGACTTCACCTCTCCCAAAAAAGAAAACAGCTGGATGTGGTGGCAAATGCCCGTAGTCTTGGATGACTGGGAGACTGAGGAGGAGCACCACGAGATCATGACTGTGGTGAGCCATGACTGAGCCACTGCACTTCAGGCTGGGTCACAAAGCGAGAGGCCGACTGACAAAATGAAACAACCAATGAAGAGGAGAGCCTGGAGCGAGAAAAGTCATGAAAATGAGGGGAACTGGTGAAAGTATCGGAAATCGGGCTTACTGTGCCATCCTTGAAGAGCCGGAAATTGATTTGCCGTTGAGCGGCCCTGCCCAAGACCTCCTTCACCGAGCAGCCACACTGAACCTTCAAGGTATCGAAGAACGAGTCGTGCAGGAGTTGGTGCCCTGCGTGCTTCAGGCCTGCACGAGGTGGGAGAGCCGCCAATCTCTGACACAGAAACCTGGCCCTGGGCCACAGACACATCACACAGAAACAACATTCGACTTCAGCCTGTTCCGGGTCCTGGCCAGTGTTTTGGTGACCGCTTTAAAAATAACAACAGGAAGCCAGGCGCGGTGGCTCACGCCTATACTCACAGCACTTTGGGAGCCCGAGTGGGAGGACTGCCTCAGCCCGCGGGTTCGAGACTAGCCTGGGCAACTTGGCGAGACCTCATCTCTACCATAAAAAAAAATTAGCTGGGCATGGTGACTCATGCCTGTAGTTCCAGCTACTTGGAAGGCTAAGGCAGAAGGATCACCTGAGCCCGGCAGGTCGAGGGTGCGGTGACCGGGAGCATGCCACTGCCCTCCAGCCTGAGTGACAGAGTGAGACTCCAACTCAAAAATAAATAAATAAAGTAATAATACTAAGGCTAGGCTAGTGGCTCAGCCTGTAATCCCAGCATTTTGGGATGCCAAAGCGAGAAGATTACCTGAGCCCAGGGGTTCAAGACTAGCCCAGGTAACTTGGTGAGACCTTGTCTCTACAACAAATCACCAAAAAATTAGCCGGGCGTGGTGGCACATGCCTGTGGTTCCAGCTATGTGGAAGGCTGAGGCGAGAGGAACACCTGAGCCCAGAAGGTCGAGGTTGCGGTGGCCGTGAACATGCCACTGTACTCCAGCCTGGGTGACAGAGCGAGATCTCGACTCACAATAATAATAATAATAATAGTAATAATAATAATAATAAGCTGGCCCAGTGGCTCATGCCTATAATCTCAGCACTTTTGGAGGTGGAGGTGAGAGGACTGCCTGAGCCCAGGGGTTTGAGACCAGCCTGGACAACTTGGCAAGACTGTGTCTCCACAAAAAATCAAGAAAAATCAGCTGGGGGTGGTGGCGCACACTTGTAGTTCCAGCTACTTGGAAGGCGGAGGCAGAAGGATCACCAGAGCCCAGGAGGTGGAGACTGTGGTGGCCATGAGCATGCCATTGCATTCCAACCTGGGCGACGGAGAGAAACTCCAACTCAAAAAAATAGTGATAATAAAATAATAATAATAATAAATGTGCTTATTATATTGCTATAGAAAGTTATGAAGTACATAAAAGAGAGGGGAAGGAAATTACCAAAATTACCATCCAGAAATAAGTATCACTTATATTTTGGAATATATTCCTCTGGAAAAGGTGTGTGTGTGTTTCATTACAATTGTTTATAAATCAATACCTTAACCATTTTTAGTGGCTATGTAACAGTCAAATATGAGGATGTACCATGACTTAATTACTATTTATTAGACATTCTGGCTGTTTCTAAGACTGAACTCTTGTAAACAAAATTCCAATGCATATTCTTTACAATCTTATCTGATTATTTTCTTTAGATACATTTCTAAAGTAGAATTTCTAGATCAAACTGTAAGCACTTTTTTGAATATGTGTTGGTCAAGTGCCTCCCATAAAAGCTATACTCATATGGTATCCGCATTCTTCCTTTTTTTATTGTCTGAGACAGGCTCTTACTCCTGGCCTCAAGAGATCTTCCTGAGGCCGGGCTCGGTGGCTCAGCCTGTAATCCCAGCACTTTGGGAGGCCGAGGCGAGAGGACTGCCTGAGCCCGCGGGTTCGAGACCCGCCCGGGCAACTTGGCGAGACCTCGTCTCTACAATAAATCAAAAATTAGCCAGGCGTGGTAGTGCGCGCCTGTAGTTCCAGCTACTTGGAAGGCTGAGGCAGAAGGATCACCGGAGCCCAGCAGGTTGAGGCTGCAGTGGCCGGGAGCATGCCACTGCACTCCAGTCTGGGTGATAGAGTAAAACTCCAACCAAAAAAAAAAACAAAAAACAAAACAAGAGATCCTCCTGCCTCACCCTCACGAGGTGCTGGGATGACAGGCTTGAGCCAACACACTTGGCTTCAAAACTATGCAGTATTCTTCTCAGTCTTTGCCAGTGTAATGGGAGAAATATTGTTTATTGCTTTCATTTGTATTTCTTTGATTAATAGCGATGGTGAAATTCTATATGTTCACTGGCCATTGACTTCTATACTGCTTATTACTACTTTTTATTTTTTAGTTTTTTACTTTTTATTGTAGAGACAAGGTCTCGCCAAGTTGCTCGGGCTGGTCTTGAACCCGCGGGCTCAGGCAATCCACTCCCCTCGGCCTCCCAGAGCGCTGGGATGATAGCCTGAGCCACCGAGCCCAGCCTGATTTTTACTATTATTTTGAGACACTATCTCACTCTGTCACCCAAGCTGAGTGCAGGGGCACAATCGCAACTCACTACAGCCTCAATGTCTTGGACTTCAGTGATCCTATGGCCTCAGCCTCCCAAGTAGCTAGGACTACAGGTGTGTGCCACCAAGCTCAGCTAATTTTTTTGGTTTTTCATAGAGACGAGCTCTCCTCATGTTGTCCAGGATAGTCTCGAACTCCTGGGCTCAAGCATTCCTCCCGCCTCAGTCTCCCAAAGGGCTGGGATTACTGGCGTGAGCCACTGTACCCGGCTGTACACTTATCTCTTCTTAAATTACACGTAATGCCCAGAGTATACATCTTTCTTATATTCAGGGTTTAGGAAGGTAAGAGTTCTCTGTACTAAAAATGGTAACATTCACTCAATCATAAATGTTGAAAATACTTTTCAGTTTTTCATTTGACTCTTAATTTTACCCGTAGTGTGAGCTATGCAGCAAGTTTTCAACGTTGCTCATTCATATTTATTGTGATGTCCCCAAGTTTGAAAATAGATGACAGACTCACCTTCCGACAAGATCAAAGTGGCATTGTGCACCCTCTTGGCGATATGCTCCAGCCCACGGGAGCCATGGTAAATCGCAAACATGGCAGCCATATTCGCCAAGAGGGCCTAAAAGAAGAGGAGCATGTTAAGAAGCGTGTCCAACCGTGAGGTGAGGACGATTAGTAGGACGAAGGAATGACTCAACTTGAGATGCCAAAATTGCCAACGCGGTGGCTCACGCCTGTCATCCCAGCACTTTGGGAGGTAGAGGCGAGACGATGCCTGGTCCAAGGCTTCGAAACCAGCCTGGGCAACTTGGAGAGACCTCATCTCTACCATAAATCAAAAACTTAGCTGGGCGTGGTGGTGAGCACATGCGATCCCAGCTACTTGGAAGGCTGGGGCAGAAGGATCTCCTGAGCCCAGCAGGTCGAGCCGTGAGCGGGCCCCTGCACTCTAGCCTGGGTGACAGAGTGAGACTCCGACTCAAAAAAAGGAGAGATACATGCCAAAATTGAAAACAGGGACAAAACAAGATGGTCAGATTGCTGCCTTCTCAGTGATAGTTTGGGATCATAACCTACCTGATGACCCAAGGGGAAACAGCATCCCCGACATCCTGGAGTCAGGATAGGAATGTATGCTTGACCATGATGGAGGGTTTCATCCACGCATGGTCAGATCACACACATGAGGGAAGATCCAGGCTGCCATCAGACAGAAGCAATATTTAAAGTCGGAAGACAAAAGAGCAATAAAGACCCCAAGGGATAAGCGGGGCACAGTGGCTCATGCCTTTAATCCCAGCACTTTGGGAGATGGAGACAAGAGGATTGCCTGAGCTCATGGGTTCGAGACCAGCCTGGGCAACAGGGAGAGACCTCATCTCTACAATAAATCAAAACATCAGCTGGATGTGGTGGTACACACCTGTGCTTCCAGTCACTTGGGAGGCTGAGATGGAAGGATCACCTGAGCCCTGCAAGTCGAGGCTGTGGTGACCATGAGTGTCCACTACACTCCAGGCTGGACAACAGGGTGGGACTCCAACTCAAAACAAACAACCAACCAAAAAAACCCTCAGGAAGGCAAAATGAGCAGAGAGAATTTTATACTCAATTAAACATTATTCAAGAATAAAGTAGCATGTGATTTTTCAAACACTCAAGAACTCAGGGAATACAATTCTCCTGAGACTGCAAATAAAACACTAGAGGCTGAATTTCTCCCAACCAAGAGATGAATAGAGAATTTGTGGCAAGAACTGTCTCTGGGAGCCCAAGGCGAGAGGATCGCCTGAGCCCACAGGTTCAAGACCAGCCTGGGCAACTTGGAGAGACCTCGTCTCTACAATAAATCAAAAAACCAGCCAGGCATGGTGGTGCACACCTGTGGTTCCAGCTACTTGGAAGGCTGAGGCGAAAGGATCGCTTGAACACAGCAGGTCAAGGCTGCGGTGGCTGTGAGCGTGCCACTTCACTCCAGCCTGGGCAACGGAGTGAGACTGCAACTCAAAAAAAAAAAAAGGAACTATCAAAGAAGAAAAGGCAAGACGCAAGGAAAAGATGCGATGGAAGGAATACACAAGAAAGAGAAGACCAGAGTCTCCTGGCTTACTCCCCGAGGACAAGAAGACACTGTCTCCAGGGAAGCAATCTCTCTTGACCATCGGATTGAGGTTTCCAGGGACGACTACAGGGAAGCGTGTGTTCAGGCGGTGCAGAGGCTGAAAGGCCCAGCATGGTCCCCTGGACCAGGGACCCAACTCCAAGATGCTTTTGGGGGGCGGGGGCATGGCGTGGGTACGAGAAAGGCCCCGCTGTGACGGCGTCTGGGGGCTGGGGGCAGGCCAGCGAGAGAAGGGCCACCGTCAGGCACCACGATGGGCGGCCTGGGCGGAAGTGCGGGAAGTCCAGCTCCTGCCTCTCCCCCGGCCTCGCCCCTCCCCCGCCTTTTCACCACTCAAGCCTAGGTCACGGGTCCAAACGCAAGTCTCAGACCCTCAGCCGCACAAGCCGCCCACTCTGCCACGACCGACCCTCTCTTAGCCCAGCAACACAGTCTCTCGTGCATGAGGTCACCCGTTCCAGGTCCACCTCCATATCCAGTCACCCGGAGTCACAGACCAGACCCTCTACTCAACTGAGGAACGCGGTGCTTTATCGTGGGAAGATGTTTAATAATGAATGCATTCTGCTAGGCTCATCTTTTCTCAGCTCGGCTGCTAGAGGAAAGTTCTAAGTGGCCACTGCAAAACAAGAAGCAGTTTGCAAAAGATGCCCAAACTTGAAGTGAGCAGTCACTGGAGAAAATGAGGAGGAAAAGCCGGGCTCGGTGGCTGAGCCTGTCATCCCGCGCCATTGGGAGGCTGAAGTGAGTGGATTGCCTGAGCCCACGGGTTCAAGACCTGCCTGGGCAACTTGGCGAGACCTCATCTCTACAATAATTCAAAAAATTAGCCAGGTGTGGCAGCGCGCGCCTGTAGTTCCAGCTACTAGGAAGGCTGAGGCGGAAGGATCACCGGCGCCTAGCAGGTCGAGGCTGTGGTAGCTGGGAGCGGCCACTGCACTCCAGTCTGGGCGACAGAGTGAGACTCCAACTCAAAAAAAAAGAAAAAAAAGGCCAGGCTTGGTGGCTCAGCCTGTAATCCCGCGCCTCTGGGAGGCTGAGGTGAGTGGATTGCCTGAGTCTGCGGGTTCGAGACCCGCCTGGGCAGCGAGACCTCTTCTCTACAATAAATCAAAAAATCAGCCGGGCGTGGTAGCGCATGCCTGTAATTCCGGCTACTCCGAAGGCTGAGGCGGAAGGATCGCCGGAGCCCAGCGGGCCGAGGCTGCGGTGGCCGGGAGCGGCCACTGCACTCCAGTCTGGGCGACAGAGTAAGACTCCAACTCAAAAAAGAAAAAAGAAAATGAGGAGGAAAAGAAGACATCAGAGAACACAGAAATAGACCTCTTGAACTAAAATTCCAAGAGAAGGCTGGGTGTGGTGGCTCATGCCTATAACCCCAGCACTTTGGGAGGCCAAGGTGAGAGAATTGCCTGAGCCCACAGGTTTGAAACCAGCCTGGGCAACTCGGCGAGACCTCATCTCTACAATAAATCAAAAAATTAGCCGGGTGTGGTGGCACGTGCATGTAGTTCCAGCTACTTGGAAGGCTGAGGCCGAAGGATCATCTGAGCTCAGCAGGTCAAGATTGTGGTGGCTGTGAGCGTGCCACTGCACTCCAGCCTGAGTAACAGAGTGAGATTCCAGTTTAAAAAAAAAAAATCCCAGAGGAATTACAAGCACTCTCATGGAATCCTTTAACCAATCAGAAATAAATACAGAATCTTGGCAGTAGTGGGAAACTGCCAGGGGAGGGAGGGGCAACAAGGGTACCTGCATAATGAACATCGGTATATCTAACCCAGAATTGTGCCCCTCCTCTTTAAAATAAAAAATTAAAACTAAGAAGGAAAAACCATGCAGAAGCTTCATAGCACTTTACAGTCACAGAGTGGGCAAGTCTGAGGTAGAGACTACATGAAATAGCTGGGCACGATGGCTCACACTTATAGTCCTACTCAGGAGGCTGAGGCTGGAGGATGGCTTGAGCCCAGGAGTTCAAGGCTGCGTGAGACATGTTCGCACTGCAGTGCTCCAGATCGTGTGGTAAAGCAGGGCCCTGTCTCTTGAAAAGAAGAAAGAAAGCAAGCGAGCAGGAAGAACCCACGAGACAGTGTGCCCAAATGCTCACAGCTGTGCTTTTCCGGAATAGAAATCCAGACCTGCCATTCACAGAATGCCCTGGAGCTTCCAGCACAGCCTTAGGGAGGCTGACTCACCTCCTCTTTAGTCTGGAGATAATTCTTTCCACAACCAGAGACTGTATCAAGTGGCAGAACAACGAATTGATGAGAAGCACAAAATCACTTTCTAAAATTTTTGAAAGGCATTAGAATATCAAAAGAAGAACAGAGCGGCCAAGAACGTCCAAATGTCTTTGATAAATCGGACAAAGGTAAAATCCAGTTGGGGCATTAAAGAAAGGCATCAAAAGCTAAAGATGGGCCTGGCACAGTGGCTCCCACTTGTAATCCCAGCACTTTGCAGGCCGAGGCGGGAGGTCTGTTGGAGACTGGTAGTTCAAGAGCAAAAAAATTGTAGGCATAGCGGTGCACTCCTGTCGGCCCAGCTACTCAGGAGGCTGAGGCAAAGGATCGCCTGAGCCCAGGAAGTGGAGGCTGTGGTGGCTGTGAATATGCCACTCCACTCCAGCCTGGGCGACACAGTGAGACCCCGACTCAAAGAAAGAAAAATGTAAAAAAAAAAAAAAAAGAAAAAGAAAAACGGTCTAAATTAAGCCAGGCACAGTGGCTCAGCCTGTAATCCCGGCACTTTAGGAGCCTATAGCGAGAGAACTACCTGATCCTGGGGGTTTGAGACCAGCCTGGGCAACTTGATAAAACCTTGTCTCCACAATAAATTAAAAAAAAAAAAAAAGCCGGGCGTGGTGGGACACACCTGTAGTTCCAACTACTGGGAAGGCTGAGGTGGAAGGATCCTGTGAGCCCAGCTGGGCGAGGTTGTGGTGGCCATGCATGTGCCACTGTCCTCCAGCCTGGATGACAGAGTGAGACCCCAACTCAAAAAAAAAAAAAAAAAAGAAAAAGAAAAATGCGCAGAATCATATATAGTCACACCCACTAGGATGGCTATAACCAAAAAGACAGGGATCGGTGAAAGTGTGGAGAAATTAGAGCCTCACACGCTGCTGGTGGGAATGTAAAGTGGTGCAGCCACTTTGGAAAACTTGAAGTTCCTCCAAAATATAAATGTAAAGTTATCATATGACCCAGCAATTCCACTCCTAGGTATAGACCCAAGAGAAGTGAAAACACGTCCATACAAAAATGCACAGAAAAGTTCGCAGCGGCCTTATTTGTTTATCTATTTATCAATTGATGGACATTTGTGTGGAAACAACTCAAATGTCCATCAATTGATAAATAGATAAACAAAATGTGATACAGCTAGACAATGGGATATCATTCAGCCCTGAAAAGGAATGAAGTACTGATTCATGTTGCATTATGGATGAATCTTGAAAACATTATCCTGGCTGGGTGTGGTGCCTCACACCTGTCATCCCAGCACTTTGGGAAGGAGGTGGAGACAAGAGCATTGCCTGACCCCAGGAGTTCGAGATGAGCCTTGATGACTTGGCAAGCCCTGTTTCTACAGTAAATTAAAAAGTAGCTGGGCACGGCAGAACACGTCTGAGGTCCAGCTACTTGGAAGGCTGAAGCAGAAGGATCACCTGAGCCCAGAGCTGAGGCTGCGGTGGCCGTGAGTGTGCCACTATACTCCAGCCTGGGCGACAGAGGGAGACTCTAACTCAAAAACAAACAAACAAATAAATGAAAAGAAAAAAATCGGTGAAATCAGACACAAAAGGTCACATGTCGCATGATCCCATTTACATGAAATATCCAGAGTAGGCAAATCAGAGATACAGAAAATAGATGGCTTAAGAATAGTTGCCAAAGACTGATTATAAGAAGGGGAGCGGAATGGGGAATGATTGCTTAATGGAAATAAGGTATATTTTGCAGGTGCTAATGTTTTGAAGTTAAATACTGGTGATAGTTGCACAACTTTGTGAATATAAGAAAAACCACCGAGGTAGATACTTCAACGGGTAAAATGCATGGTCAGTTACATCTGAATAAAAAAGAAAAAAAAATTATTCCTCAACATACTTGGCTTTAGAAAAGCTGGCCGGGTTCAGTGGCTCAGCCTGTCGTCCCAGCACTTTGAGAGACTGAGGTGAGTGGATTGCCTGAGCCTGTGGGTTCAAGACCAACCCGGGCAACTTGGCGGGACCTCATCCTTACAATAAATAAAAATTCAGCCAGCATGGTAGCACGCACCTGTAGTTCCAGAAACTTGGAAGACTGAGACAGAGGGATCGCTGGAGTCCAGCAGGTCGATGCTGGGGTGGCCGTGAGCATGCCACTGTACTCCAGCCTGGGTGACAGAGTGAGACTCCAATTCAAAAAAAAAAAGAAAAAGAAAAGCTGCTTATTGTGGTAGAACCTGAGATGTAAGACAGTATGAAGACCAGGACATGATGAAACTTCAGACCTCTGTTGTGATGTCATAAGTTTATAGAAAAAATATTTGATTCATTATCACACTTTCAGAGATTGAAAAAATAAAAGCCCTTCCCTATCGGTGATGCAAAAGTGGGGGACGTCTAGTCTACCATGGACCCCACACCACCAACAGGAAAGGGCAGGATGAGATGAACACGAACAGTGGCTGCCCGGAGCCAAGGAAGGGGGTCAAGACACACAGCACAAAAGGAGCAGAAAGGGCGGCCGCCATTTCCTAACAGATGCTTGCAAAGAAAGTGATCCTGGAGTTATGAGTAATTGCTCTGTGCAACCAATTATGAAAAGAGTCACATGAAATGAAACAGGCAAGGGAGGGTTACCAAATCACCAAAATGAGGCTGGGCGCACTGGCTCACACCTGTAACCCCAGCACTTTGGTAGGCTGAGGTGAGAGGATTGCCTGAGCTCGCAGGTTCAAGACCAGCGTGTGCAACATGGCGAGACCTCTTCTCTACAATAAGTCAAAATATTAGCCAGGTGTGGTGGCATGTGCCTGTAGTTCCAGCTACTTGAAAGGCTGAGGCGGAGGGGTCACCTGAGCCCGACAGGTCGGGGCTGTGGTGGCCGTGAGCAGCATGCCACTGCACTTCAACCTGGGCAACATTGCAAGACTCCAACTCAAAAAATAAAAGAAAAAAACATAAAATAAGTTGTTGCCAGGTTATTAAACACAAAATGGTTCTCTCTCTCTCTCTCTAATCTACTTTTTAAATCAACTATATTTCCCAATCTAAAAATAAATAACTATAAAATGGTTTGAAAGAATAAATGCGATCACTTATAAGGAGCGAATCCACAGGTGAGGGGAGCACATTCTATGGAACAGCATAAAATCCGGGGCGCTCTGCTTCTGAGCAGACTGCAAGGCTTCTCTGCCAGCGAGAGCTTGTCGTTTCTGGCCTGCTTCCTGCTCGCCAGGTGACGAGTACCCGGGCAAACGAGGGGACGAACGTAGCTCGTTTCCTAGGCTGCCAGGCATTCAGTGGGCAGGTCAGTCCGGGACTCACCTGAGCTGTGCAGATGTTGCTGGTGGCCTTGTCTCTCCGGATGTGCTGCTCCCGGGTTTGAAGAGCAAGGCGGTACACTTCTTTCCCCGTGGCATCCCTGGACCAGGAACAAAGCCTCAGTGAGCATAGGTTATCTTGGGCCAGGAGTTGCCATGAAGGACCTGCTGCTTTCCTTCCCAGCTGGATGTGACATTCATCGACTGAGTTGTGGGCGAGTTCTTTTTCTGAGTCGGAGTCTCACTCTGTCGCCCAGGCTGGAGTGTAGGGGCATGCTCACGGCCACCGCAGCCTTGGCCTGCCGGGCTCAGACGATCCTTCCGCCTCAGCCTTCCAAGCAGCTGGGACTACAGACACACACCACCATGTCCTGCTAATTTTGTGTAGAGACTAAGTCTTGCTATGTTGCCCAGGCTGGTCTCGAACTCTGGGGCTCAAGCAATTCTTCTGCCTCAGCCTCCCAAAGTGCTGGGATTACGGGCATGAGCCACCACGCCCAGCCTCAATGTATGCTTCGTAATCTCTCATTGCACTTGTCTTTACAGAACCATGTGGCATGATGATACTTTTGAGAAAGAAACTGATGAGACACAACACATACCTAAAATATTTAGATGTCCAAGGCTTTCCCCAACGTAAACAAATGCACTTACGTGACTCCAACACGAATACATTGTAAAATATACACATGCCTTTTCAAATATGTGCAAATGAATGGTGTTTAAGGACTCATTCACACCCCAAAGAGATTTTTCTCTTCTGAATCTATGCTGTACGTTTCCTTTTGACCCAACATTGCCCAGTTATGTTCAAAGGGAAAGCAACATCTGTGACCAGGAGCGGGAACGGGGGAAGTCATAGCCACAATGATGGGAAGAAGGGGCCTTACCTTGTTACCCCCACCATTCTTCCTGGCATCATCCTCACCAGGCTTTCGCGGACGGCAAAGAAAGCTGCGTGCGGCCCACCGTAGCCCAGGGGCACCCCGAATCTCTGCGAGCTGCCGAGGGCGATGTCAACCCCAAATTCTCCGGGTGGCCTCAAGATGCACAGAGCCAACAGGTCAGTAGCACAGCATGCCAGGCTCTAGAAAGGAGCCGGGAGGAGAGGGACCACGTTGCCGCCTGTCCCGAGTGGCGGGAAGGCGAGGCACATCACCCCAGCTACAGGGAGACGGGCAGGGTGGGCTTGTCTGCTCGTCCGCTCATTCAGCAAATATTTGCTGTGTGCCTACCACACGCTAGGGATCTGTGAACGAAACAACGTGCAGAAAGGGGATAGGAAGGTGAATTTGACCATCCCATGTGCTAGTGATAAAGAAACTAAGGCACAGCTGGGCTCAGTGGCTCAGCCTGTAATCCTGTGCCTTTGGGAGGCTGAGGTGAGTGGACTGCCTGAGCCACGGGTTCGAGACCTGCCTGGGCAACTTGGCGAGACCTTGTCTCTACAATAAATAAAAAAAATTAGCCGGGCGTGGTAGCATGTGCCTGTAGTTCCAGCTACTTGGAAAGCTGAGGTGGAAGGATTGCCGGAGCCCAGCAGGTCAAGGCTACGGTGGCCAGGAGCGGCCACTGCACTCCAGTCTGGGTGACAGAATGAGACTTCAACTCAAAAAAAAGAAAGAAATAAAGGCACAGATGATTGAGAGATAGATGAGAGCTACAGATGATGGATTAGATAGATGGAGACACAAGATACTTATAGATCGATAGATGACAGATAGATATAGACAGGCAGACATGATAGGCAGGTAGGTAGATATACATGATAGAGACAGACAGATAGATAAATAAATGAGAGACAGATAGATATACATGACAGAGAGAGAGATGGGAAAGCTGGGACACCCCAGGGAAGCCGGTTTCCCTACCCCTGCCTGATGGGCTCTCTCCACGAGCTCCGAGAAGTCTTCCACCTTCCCCTCGGTGTCTGGGTACTGGAACAACACCCCACTGACATCTTTTGCACCAAAGTCCATTTCGTGGGGTAACTTCAGCTCAGTGAGGACTCCAGTGTATCTGGAAAGGCAGGCGAGAAAGAACGCAGCCTTAGGGCGACGATGGGAAATGAATGAGCGAACGACGCTTTTCTGGGAGCCTCCATTTCCGGTGTCCTCCCTGAATGGCCTCCGCCCCCGCCCCATCCCACACCTGGCGCTCGTGGTGACCGTGCTCATGGCCACTTCGCCTGTTCCTCCTCCGCCCCTCCCACTCCCCTCTCCTCCTCCCTTTCCTGTCACAATGTGCTCCTGAGAGAGGACCGGGACGTCACTTCCTGCGGCTGAAGAACCAAGACCTGTGACGAGAGCCATCACTGCCATCACCTGGGGATCAGTCCAAGGGAATGGAAAGTCATCGGGGAGGCAAGGAGGACACACTTCCCCAGGGACGATCAGCCACCCCGTGCGGACGTTGTCAGAAAACCCCCTCTAGAGGGACAGCAGCACGGGGGTGAGGATGCTCAACTTTTGCAAAAGAGAAAGCAAACGTCTACAAGTGGCCCTGCTGTGTTTGTTCTATCTGATGACAGCACGGAGCAAAAACAATACTCTTTAAGGACATTGCACTGCAAACAACCAGGCCAGGCATGTCCAAAGCACTGCCCACAGTCCGAATGCCGCCAAGAATTGTGTATTGCGTAGTGTTTATTTTCTACATGACCTCATGCAGAGTTCCATTTCTGAGGCCCACAATCACACCTTGCTTGTGCCGTCGCTTTTTGACAGCATACACATTTGTGAGAAGCTTCATTAATTATGAAGTACACAAAGGGCAAAATTTGAACACACATTTCTGATGAGCCCTTTGAGATGCTGATAGATTCGTTTTACAAAAACAAGATCTAGGCCGGGCTCAGTGGCTCAGCCTGTAATCCAGCGCTTTGGGAGACCGAGGTGAGTGGATAGCCTGAGCCCACGGGCTCGAGACCTGCCTGGGCAACTTGGCAAGACCTCATCTCTACAATAAATCAAAAAATTAGCCGGGTGTGGTAGCGTGCGCCTGTAGTTCCAGCTACTTGGAAGGCTGA